AAGATGAAATCATTGACAGCTTTAATCCTTTCCCCATCTATCATAATGTTGACTGTTGAGGATCTTTGTTTTCTGGATGTTGATTTTAAAACCTCAACCTCTAAGCTAATAATACCTCAAAAGGCAACCAGTACACACCCTTTCTCTTGTTTATCGTTATTAACACCAGAAAATCACCAGTGCATTTAGTAAATTCTTTTATAGCTGACTAGTCTGTCTGTCTTCACATGTATTAAAGGCAATTTAAGATTGTTGTTAGGTGCCGTGAACTTGAGTACCATCCATACCAACCCTAAGGATGACATTATCTGAACCCCGTCCTATCCTGTGTTATCCTCAAACTTCCTGACACAATCCACCTGGTCAAGAGTCTTCCTCTCCTTCACTGACCCTCTACTTTTCTGAGCACCATCTCTCTCTCTCTAAGGAATAGCCCCTCTTAGCAACATATCCAAAGTGTGTGAGGCAAAGCCTCATCATTTTTGCCTCCAAAGAGCACTCCAACTGGGACCTGGTTCTTCTGGCAGATCTTGGGATGTTCAGCACTCTTCTTCAACATCACAGCTCATAGGCATCAATTCTGTTATGATCCCTATTCATTGTCCAGCTCTCAGATACATAGCAAGTGACTAGAAAGACCATGGCCTGAATCAGACACACTGTCTGATGTCCTCAAACTGACATCTTTACTCCTCAATAATTTAGAGAGGTCCCTAAGTGCAGACTTTCCCATGCAATACATCTCATGATTTCCTGACTACTGGTACCAAGGCTGTTAAATGCGGGTCCAAGTGAAGTTATTGACAATTTCAATCTTTTCTCCATCGTGATGTTGCCTATTTGTTCAGTGGTAACAATCTTTGTTTTCCTGACATTGAGATGCAATCCATATTGAAGGCTGAATTCCTTGATTTTCTGCAACAAGGGCTTCAAGTCCTCCTCACTTTCAACAATCAAAGTTGTGTCATCTACATAACTCAGGTTATTGATGAGTTTCCCTCCAATCCAGATGCCATACTCCTCTGCACAGAGTCCAGCTTCTTGAATCATTTTCTTGGCATACAATTTGAATAAGTATAGAGACAGAATATAATCTTGACACACTTCTTTCCTAATTTTAAACCATGTAGTTTGGTAACATCTGTTTGGGCAACAACCTCCTGGTCTAAGTATGGGTTTCTCAGGAGCACAATTAAGTGCTCTGGAACTTCCATTCTTCTCAATGTATTCTATCTCCGTATTGTTTTAGCGTTGGGGTTTTTTTTTTGTTTGTTTTGCTTTTTTTTTAAATGATCTTCAGCAGTATTTTGCTTGCATGTGATATTAATGATATTGTTAAATTAGTTTTCACATTCTGTTGGATCACTTTTCTTGGGAACAGGAACAAATATAGACCTCTTCCAATTTGTTGGCCAGACAGTTGTCCTTCAAATTTCCTGGTACAGATTGGTGAGCACATCCAGGCCCAAATCTTTTAATTGAAACAAGTCAATTGGTATTCCAGAAATTCTTGGGGTCTTACTTTTTGCTAATGCCTTCAATGCAGCTTCCAGTTTTCCCTTCTTTACCATTGTCTTCTGCTCCTACGGTGCTTTCTGAAATTTTTCAGTGTCAGGCAGTTCTTTTTGGTACAGTAATTCTGTGTGTTCTCTCCATCTTATTTTGATGTTTTCCGAGTTATTCACTATATTATCCATAGCATCTTTTAGTATTGGAACTTAGGCTTAAGTTGGTTTTTCAGTACTCTCAGCTTGAGAAATGCAGAGAGATTTCTTCCCTTTTCATTCTCCAATTCCAGCTCTCTGAACATTCCATGATAATACTTTGTTTCCTGGAGTTGCCCTTTTAAATCTACTACCCAGCTTTTTTACTTCAGCATACTTTCCTTTCATTTTGTCTTCTCAATGTTCAAGTGCAATGTTTTGAGTTTCTTCTGATATCCATTTAGGTTTTTAGTTTCTCCTCTGTCTTTGTAATGACCTTTTGCTTTCTTCATGGCTAATATCCTTGATAGCATCCCACAACTCATTTGGTCTTTGATCATTGGTGTTCAATACTTCAAACCTGTTCTTAAGATGATTTTGAAATTCACATGATAGATTCAAGATAATATTTTTGTTCTCATGGAGTAATTTTAATTTCTTCAGCCTCAATTTGAACTTGCACATGATTAGTTAATTAATGGTCTGACTTATAAGTTTTTACTGCCTATACTGGACTTCTCCAGTTATTCATTCCACAGATGTAGTCAATCTGATTCCTACGCCATCCATTAAGTGAAGTCCATGTGCAAAGTCACCATTTGTATCTTTTTTAAAAAGGTATTTCCAATGAATAAGTCACTGAAAAATACAAAATTTGATTATTCTACTTCCAGCCTCATTTCTATCACCAAACATATATTTTCCAACTCCTATTCATTGTTCACTGTTTCCAACTTTTGCATTTCAGTCACAGATCATCATTAATACTTCTTGACTGCATGTTCAATCAATTTCAGACTTCAAGATTTGTAAAAAAATTTCTTCCCCTCTAACTCTAGATGTTGGAGTGTATATTTGAACAACAGTCATATTAATGGGTCTTCATTGTGGGCATATGGATAATATCCTATCATTTACAAAATTTTATTTCTGGATAGACCTTGAAATTAACTTTTTGACTATGAATGTAACACCATTATTCCTCTATTTTTAATTCCCAGATTAGTGTGTCATAAGTTAAGCTTAGGTGATGATCACAATAATAAATGTATGATTTTATGTACTACCTCAATTTATTCAGATTTTCTTCAATGTGAATTGTTGGAGTATCACTCAGTATTCAGTCTTAAAGCCAGGCTAACATAAAATAGGTGGAGTGGTATTGGTTTTATTTACAGTTTTACAAAGAAATAAAACATGTACTTGGCAACAAAGTAATCACAATGTATAACAGCACTCAGTCTCCTAGAGGTCTTGACTTGTTTTGAAAATTAGCCATAGCTTTGAATAAACTGAAAAGGTATGAAAAAGTGGAAATGGCCTCATTTTCAAGTTGTTCTTTAATGGGGTGAATAGTGAGCTCAATGAACAATGGGATGATCTTTCGCAGCTCTAGGATTAAAAGGGCCATTGTGAATGGAAGAACAAAGAAAGTTTTAGCTCAAACATCTCTAGGCACTTTTAAAAAGAGAATCTAGTAATTTAAACTAATTTAAAAATGTCTACCAATCGCTAAGAAATGAACATGGTGGGGGCAGGTTGCTTTTTTAAAAAAATAAATAAATAAATACAGAGTGTGTGAGAAGTGGCATGTTTAGGAGTCATAAATGATCAAGAGTTTGTATTTTGAGCACTAGCTGAAAGGCTGGAAGTTTGAATCCACACAGAGATGCTTTTAAAGCCAAGCCTGAGGATATGCTTCTGAAAGGCCACGGTTTCGAAAGTCTATGCAGCACATATACGCTGCATACTTGGGGTTGCCAGGAGTCACAGTAGAATTCATGACAACAAACAACATATTTCTGAACTAGTACATGAATATGGATGGTGAAAATGAAAAGCATATCTATGTTCATTAATGTGCTTCAGACACAATTTTTTTTTACAATTTTAACATACTTGGACTAAGTATTTTAAAATTTTGATAGCTGAAATGTCATAAATTTGATGCTAAAGTTTTCAAAAAGGAAATACAGAATAATTCTTAAAGAAAATTGGGTCCAATTTAGTCATCAGTTCCAAAGAGTGGGATTCACATATGGTAGTTGTTGCTGTTATGTGCTGTTGGGTCCTCTATGGTTCATTGTGACCCCATGAATAATAGATCTGACCTCTGCTCTATCCTGAGCCAATCTCACTGTGTTTCAACACACCCGCCTCCGTTACCACAGTCACTGTGTCTATCCATCTCATCCATATATGGTAGAGTACACATCAAATTCAAAGTCAAATTCACTGTTGTTGAGTCAGAAATGATGCACAGCTGACCCTTCAGTGATGTTGAACTGACTCATAGCTATTCCTCCAGTGGAGTTGCAGAGGCTTTAAGCTGCCCAGTAAGAGAGTGCACATCTTTCTCCCATGGAGGAGGTGCTGGACTCATACCATGTGCTTTTTGGGTTGGCAGTATGACTTCCAACCACTAGGTCACACAGACTGTGAATCACATAGGAGGAGGTTGACTATCTTTCTCTGGTGGAGCGGCCAGTGGATTTGAATTGCTGAAAACGCACAGCCTTTTGAGTTAGTAATGTATCACCCTATAGACTAGGCTACCAGAGGTGCCAGAACCCCCCCCACACACACACACATTTTCTAATGTGAACTTGAAAAAGAATTTTTTAAAAAGTCAGTAGATCTCTACTTTAATAAGCATCAGATCTAAATAAGTAACTATTTCCCATGTTTGATTTTTTAACACCCAGCTCTTAGCTCAAACAACAATTTTTGCTAGTCTTACATGACCATGCAGAGAAAAATGGAATTGATGAGAGATCTAGGTATGGATTACAATAATTAGCTTCTACTTCAATGGACTTAACAAATATAAAATTATAAAAGTTTAATTCAATGTGAAACTAATAAGCAAAGGCAGAGGGGAGAAAAACCCTAAGGAACTACAAAGAATTAGCATATGTGTAACTGAAAATTTATTATAGCATCTATTACAAGCTAAAAAAAATAATTTTTACATTAGGTTCTCCTTGTACACACATCTCCACTTTAAGATGGAAAATGTGAACTTCGATATTTAAACCAAAATTGCCCTTAAGTTTGAAAATGAAATGCAAACAAGAAACACACATATTTTTACACACAAATATTGAGTTAACTGGTTAATGCACAAGGTGTTTAGTTGTGTTTTGAAATAAAATTACTCTTTCCTAAAATGAGACGGAAATAACCTTTTTTCTCCTATACATGCGTTTATAGAATTGCCATTCATTGAAGTACTGTAAAAATCATCCACCACTGACATTCAGATGTCCTTCTCTTTCCCTCCTACAGGTGGCTCACCTTGCACTTCGGACACTTCTGGGCGTTCCTCTGCCCATGCTCAATTTCGCTGGCCCAGTGGCGTAAGAGCTTGTCTCCTTTTCTGTACTCCTTGCAGTTAACGCCTTCATGCCAAGGAGAGTGGCACTTAAAACACCAGACAAATTGGCAAGTGGGGCACTGGATCTGTGGAAGGAAAAAGTAAAAGTCAGTGATGTAATGTGAACGTCTAACAGGACAAGAATGAAGAGGCTTGGGAAGAGAGTGGAAAGGTTATGACTGGGCTCTATTGAAAAACATTTCATCATCTATAGAACTGAAAAAAATTCTCTATTTATACATATGTGGTTGTGTACCATCGAGTCGGAACCGACCCATAGCTGACCCTCCAGTGGGTTTTCAAAGGCAGTTACATGCACAGGAGGGGAGCGCAGATCCTTCTCCCGCTGATCTTACTTTAAAAACTCCTCCACCTCAAGTTCAACGTTCTCAAGTCAGCTCTGACTCACAGCAACAATCCACCCAATTCCCGAGGTTCTAAGTGTTACCAGGAGACTTGGCCACCTTTCTTCTTTAGAGTGGTGCATTAAACTCCTGGGGAATGCATAACAACCTACAAACTATGCCCACGGAGCTCCGTATGTTATTTAAGTGGGATAGGATCATTTTGGCTAGACTAGTGCAAGGTGGACCTTAAAAAAAAAGGCAAAAAAAACAAACCCACCAGATTGAACCAGAATAAAACCTAAAGGCTCGTAATGCCTGCAATCCATGCACTCGGGCTTCTCGTTAACTCCTGGTTGCCTCGACCCCACCGCCTTGGCATTTTTATTGCTCTTTGAACCAGTAACTTGATTCAAGTTGTATATGAAACTTTCACAGAAACTTCACGGAATGAAAACTCATGTATGAGTTTATACAGTGTATAAACCCCCAGACCATTATTTTCTATGAGGCAGCAACTAACATGACAGATATCTCTAATTTGCCATCAATATAACAGAGGTTAACTGTAAAATAACACCAAGGACCCTATTATTAGAAATAAGTCTGTAGGGTGACTCTGTGGCAGGTATAAAAGATCTTCCATGATTTACACTATGTAAAGAGAGGTGTGGGGGAACGAGAATGTGCATGTTCATTGAAAAGATTTGGCTTCCATTTATTTCCTGAGTAAAAGTTATTTTCTTTAATGATCTTTATTTGGAATGTCAGTGGAGTATTATATTTTCACATAGGACTTCCAGTCTTCATTCTCTAGAAACATATGTGCATAACTTGTCTTTCCCAGCCTTTCTCAATTAAAATGAATCAACACATTGTCTTATTTTCAACAGCATGGATAACTATTCTTCTCCGTGCTGCTGCATATTACTTCACTTGAGCGCCAGTGCACTTTGAATAATTAGGAGCATTTTGAACACATTTTGAATAATTGAGCTCCATTACAGCAAAATATCTCTTAGCCTACTGGGTAAGGCATTATGCTCCCAACCCAAAGTCAGGTGGTTCAAATCTACCAGATGCTCTGTGGGAGAAAGATGGACAATCTTTCTGTGAGATTTATAGACTCTGAAAACCTGCTGAAGGGTCAGCTATGAGTCAGTTCTGACTCATTGATGGTTGTTGTTGTTGTTGTTGTTATGTGCTGTTGAGTCACTTGTGACTCATAGTGAACCTATGTACAATTACCTCTGAACTCTATCCTATCTCGAAACCTATCTTGTGTCTTCAACACACCTATTCCCGTGACCCCAGTTACTGAGTCAATCTATCTCATTCAGGATCTTCCTCTTTGGGCTTGTACCTCCACCTTTCCAAGCATAATGTCCTTCTCCAAGAACTGGTCATTCCAACATGATCAAAGTATGTGAGACAAAGCTTCCAAAGCCTTGCATCCAAGGTGTAGCTTGGTTTCATTCTCTTTATGACAGACCTGTTTGTTCTCTTGTCAGTCCACAGTATGTTCAATGCTCTTCTCCAGCACCACAACTCAAAATATTTTTTCTTCATTTGTTATCCTTAGTCACTGTCCAGCTTTTTAATGCATAGCAAGTAATTTCAAAGACCATGGCTTGGATCAGGTGCATCTTAGTCTCTAGATTGACATCGTTGCTCTTCAGTACTTTGGAGAGGTCCCTGATAACATATTTTCCCAATAAAATTTGTCTTTTGATTTCCTGACTGCTGGTTCCAAGAATGCTGACAATCTGTTAATAGTCTCAATCTCTTCTCTTTCTATCATGATGCCGCCAGTTGGCCAGTGATGATGATCTTTGTTTTCTTGATGTTGAGCTTCAATCCATACTGAAGACTGCAGCAAAGAGGTTGCACTTTTTATATTTCATATATAATATCACTGCTTATTTTTAAAAGCCATTTTTAATAGTAGTTTCAATTTCTAGAGTAACTAAATAGCAATTACAATCTCAGCTGTTGTGTTTATAATTAAAAATACTATACTTTTAAGTTATGTCAAGAATAGATAGAGCTTATACTATACAAACATAAAGTAACCAAGGTACTTAGGCTTCACACCAAAAGCAGTATTTTAAGATTTTTTAAATCTTTTTGTATATTTATTTATGGAAATTCTGCTATATAAAAAATATCTGGACTTGACACATTTCTTGCATTATTTGTTTCATCTTCAAACTAAAGCTGCAAAATAGGTATGAATATCACAAATTTCTAGCTGAAGCAGCAAAGGTTCAGAGAGGCTAAATGACTTGTTCAAGGTCACATAGCAAACACATGCAAAGAAAGACTTAAACATAAATCAGTCGGTTTCAAGGCCAACATTCTTTTCACAGTTTCAAAATACTTCCTCAAACTAAACAGCATTCCTTCCGTAGCAATTAAAAATGTTAAATGTAGAAGCATAAAAGGTCATGGACTTTATCTGAAAAGTCAAAATTCTATGTGGCTGCCAATATAAGGTGAACTTTGCAAGTTTTCATATAAGTTAGGAGACTATTTATCAAAAAGAAATGCATGTTAGTGGCCAATTCCTTAAAGGAGAAATAGCTTCTCTTGTCTTTGCTGATCATTAGCATTAAAAGAATTAATTTTTAAAGTAAGATGACAGTGCGGAGGTGGATGAGCTCCGGATAATAAAGTAACATAGAATGTCCCTGTCTGCCAGGGAACAATGACAAACAGATCTAAGTTTGTAAGGAATGAAAGGGAAAGGCAATCGGCCAGTCTATTACTAGGACTTAATGCTCAATTCCGTTTTCCTCTAGTAGGTAATCATAAATATCAATCAGTGGACCACAGAACTATTTAAAAAAAAAAAAAAAGAAGAGAGGCCTTTTTGGTTTTAAACCAGCTAGTCTTATAGAGTAAATGTATGAAATGAGTAAGAGAATATACTCAAAGGTGCTTTAAAATTGGTATTCACAGTATAAATATCAGACATTAACGGCTAAGGATCTTTGTGAGTAAGAGCTCAGCTATCACATCTATATCACACCTGTGGATCTCTAATGAAGACATTAGAAATGTGTTCTTACCATATTAGTGTTATAAAGAATCTAACACTTGGCGTAGACCTAAGTCATTCTAGCACCCCACTTTTCTAAGTCAACGAGGAAGATTTATTGTGGAATCTACATCGCAGGTGACTCAATGGCACATAACAACAATAGCATACTATGACAGGTTTGGAAGCAGGAGTGGCATCCACTTTCTAAATAACGTGCCTCTGGAAACTATGAACTTTGATAAATGTCAATAGTTGTAGAGAGGCTTGAGGCCTTTTGTTCATAGGGTCACTATGAATTGTGCTCGACTCGAAGGCAATCAACAACAACGTGCCAATCCTCACCAACAACACGACCTATGACAAACTGCGAAAGGAGGGGCCAGCAGGCTCTCAAGTGAAGATGAATAATTTAATTTTATACCTAGCTGCCTGCAAGTCTCTCACTGAAACTTTAATATGATTGTCACTTTGCTTTAGACTAGAGAAATTATATTAATAATTTTAACCCAACAACCCTGGGGTTCATAGATAGCACATGGATTATCTGAATACTGACTTGCTGCTCTGAAGAAGCTAGTGATTAAAGCGGTAGATTCCAGAACAGAGCGTACACCCTCCCCTCATGGTAGAAGGACCCTCGCACTAGCAGAGCCCGTGCTCTGTCTGATTCACCACGCGGCCTCCCTGTACGGCTGCTGACGTTGCTCTCCTGTCCTTCCTACATCCTGGAGAGCCTTACAGAAAAACTTACTGAGCCACCTGAGACAGCTTATCTGTGCTGTTTGTAATTGGAACGGGCCCAGTTAACAAGATCTGCCTCCGGAAATCTTACCCACGTAGAATCCTACTTGATTCAAGATTGTTTCTCTCAAGCATCCTCAGTACCCTTCTTAGAGAACTTACATTAGACACATAGATCTCTAATTGGCCCACTGGCATACACACTCACTGAGGGCAAAGGGTTTGCCTCCTTCATCCTGTATTTCCTGAGCTGAGTCATGCAGAATTCTTGGCATGTGGGAGGCATTTAGCAAATTTTTTGGAAGCAAATTATTTCATCCTCAGTAGGTATCACACTTTGGTTAACATTAAATGAATTGAAAGGAAGAAAATATCCACAATGTGTTTTATGACCAGTGGTTCAGAGTGTTTTATTATTTCTGAGATTATCAGACACTGTTCACGAAATATTTTATTGAGATGTCATTTTATAAGCATCATAATCAATGTGCAAACTTTTCTTCATGAATCAGGACACCACGGGTTCCAAAACATTATAGGAGTGAGGAATCGTGATTAGCTTGGCCTGGAGCCCAGGAAAGATAAAATAACTTGATGTTTACATTTTTTCTTTTCAATTCCTTTTGTTTGACTACAAATCTGGGATATACTGACAATAAGATGAGATGGTAGAACAATCTATTTGACCTAAACAAATGATACTGGTCATTAGTGTTCATTGTGCCAAATGAGAAAACAGCAAATAATAAAAACAGTGGAAGAAGAGGAGAAGAGTATAGAGATAAAAAATACTGCATCAAAATAGACAAAGGGAAGAACTGCTTCAAAGGAATATATGATTGGGCATTATATGTATGACAACAATCCAGAATAAGTGGGCATTGCAAAGTGGACTGGGGGAAGTGGAAGAGATGAGGGAGGGAAATGACAACAATGAATGAATGGAAATCCAACTTTT